GAGGAATAGGAGGGGGATGAGGATGAGGATGAGGATGAGGAGTAGGAGTAGGAGTAGGAGTAGGAGTAGGAGTAGGAGTAGGAGTAGTAGTAGTAGTAGTAGTAGTAGGAGGAGGAGGAGGAGGAGGAGGAGGAGGAGGATTTGATTGGATTGTATTGGACTCCGCGGAGACCAGGGCAAGCCTGGGCGCAATCCAATCTCAGGGAGCATGCCAGGGGACTCCGCTCTTGGGCGTGAGTTCTCGCGAACGGCGGCTTAGCACCTCTGCTCCCGCTTTGGTGGGGCGGCGTGAAGGGGGGCAGACTTTACAACGCCCCCGTGTGTTCACAGTGTCGAAACTCCCACACACAACACAATAGAGCACATCCCGAATCACATCGAGGGTGTGCGAGCTATCAGCTTGCATATACAAGGGATGGCAGGAGGGATCATCACGCGCCAAGGCGCGGGCCCCCGAACACCGACCAGGGAGGAAGCGTCTTAGAAGGCCATTTAAAGGAAACGTACGTTCACAAATCTGACACTTAAAGACGGCCGAACGCTTCACTCAGGAGTGGCCTGCTGCAGTGAGGCGTGCCTTCCTGGTAGCATACGACGACAGGGCACGGGGCTTACACGGGACACGACCTACACGGGCTGAAGTCAGGCGCTTGCATGACTCAGCAACCTCCAAATTCTTTACGCTTCGCGTATCCCCACCAGCCCATCTCACAGCAGCAACTCTCGCGAAGCATGCCGTCAGTCGTGTTGTTCAGGCGTGTGTCCGCTTGGCCCCGCATATCTCCCCTGTTCCTCCTTCCTCCCGCCTCCTTGTCTATCCTCCTTGTGGGGGGAGCGGGAGAATGACGAGGCGGAGGAGAAGGGAGAGAAAGCGCTCCTCGTGATTTGAGTCGTTTGGGGTTTCTCGTCCTGGTGTGAGTCGTTCGGGCCCTTCTTCCTGGTGTGAGTCGTTCGGGCTCTTCGTGGTGTGAGTCGTTCGGGCTCTTCGTCCTGGTGTGAGTCGTTCGGGCTTCTCGTGGTGTGAGTTGTTCAGGCCCCTCATCATGGTGTGAGTCGTTCGGGCCCCTCCTCCTGGTGTGACTCGTTCGGGCTCCTCGTGGTGTGAGTCGTTCGGGGCCCGCGTCGTGGTGTGAGTCGTTCGGGCTCCTCGTGGTGTGAGCCGTTCGGGCGCCACGTCCTGGTGTGAGTCGTTCGGGCCCCTCCTTGTGGTGTGAGTCGTTCGGGCTCTTCGTGGTGTGAGTCGTTCGGGCCCCTCGTCCTGGTGTGAGTCGTTCGGGCTCCTCGTGGGGCCTCTTGGGGGCCCCTAGGAGCCTCTTGGGGCCTCTTGGGGGCCTCTAGGGAGCCTCTAGGGAGCCTCTTGGGAGCCTCGTGGGGCCCTCTTGGGGCCTCTTGAGGCCTCTTGGGGGCCTCTTGGGGGCCTCTTGGGGGCCTCTTGGGGCCGCTTGGGGGCATATGGGGGGCCTCGTGGAGGCCTCTTGGGAGCCTCCTGGGGGCCTCTTGGGGCCATCTTGGGGCCTCTTGCGACCTCCTCAGAAGCGCAAATGAGGGCTGCCCCCTGAGAAGGACAACATGAGCCCAAAACCTTCGTAGACTCACTGATTTTGCGATGAAGGAAGGTGAGCGCGGCCCCCTCAGGAGGCCAAAATGGGGGCAACAACCGTAGTAAAATCAAGGATTTTGGCTTCAAAGAAGGGCAGATGGGCCAAACTCGCCCCCCCCCCCCCCCTCGGGGCCAGAATCCTCGTGAGGGTCGTTGTTTTTTGGCCTTCCCAGGAGTCGAAAAAGACCCCCTTGCCACCACTCGGGGCTCCCTCTCCAGGTCCAGGGGGAGGGGGTAGGGGGAGGGGTAAACCCCTCCCCGAAGGGGAAGATGGGGGGTTGAGGACAGAGCGGGCTCTCTAAACCACTCACGCCCAAAGGGCTGGTGGGATTCATTGCTAAACGCCTTCCTAGAATGGAGTGGGTCAGATCATCTTGCTGGCGAACTCTCTGCACAACCTCATCAGGAACTGCACTGGATTCTGCAGCCCATCCTGCGAAGAAATCTGCACACCAGTTTAGGAAATACTCATTCGACTCAATTCCGAACTTCAACTGCGTATCTGGGGTTGCATGAGACTTGGTCCATAATACTGTGACATTACCAGGTCCTCGATGATCTAAAGCGTACCACACTTTACCCACACGTCCAACATGGGTGAGGTCTTAGCAATCGAGGAACGTGGCTTGGACATAGCACGACGCAGCGGGAGATAGTCAGTGTAGCATACAGTGTCACCAGACGTGTGATTGAGGACCACGAGGAAGGCGAATAGTTCGGCCCTAGGACTCGATTGCTCAGGGGTCGGGAGGGAGCCACAACATATAGCATCCAGCCGATGTCCATCATTTCCAGGAGGACCCAGGCGAGCAATAGACCAACCACAACGTCTCAACCTTTCGTCTTTGGCATGTTGACCTCCAGACCCGTCGAGTCCCCAAAGGCCTCCATCAAGCTTCTGAAGAGGCCCTAAGAACCCCCAGGACCACACACGAGAGTAGGGAGCAGGAACCAGCCCAGCAGTAGAGGCAAGAGGTGGAAGACCTCGAGTCCAGGAGGAGGAGAGGAGGAGGAGGTAGAGGTAGAGGAGGAGGAGGTAGAGGTAGAGGAGAGGAGGTAGAGGTAGAGGCAGGAGGAGGAGGAGGAGGAGGAGGAGGAGGAGGAGGAGGAGGGGGAGGAGGAGGAGGAGGAGGAGGAGGAGGAGGAGGAGGAGGAGGAGGGAGGGAAGGAGGACGTGAGCAGAGGGAGGAGGTGGGACGCTCAGGGACGCTGCTGAAGCGGCCTGGTATCCTTCCAGGCCCTGGCACCCACCGAGCCGCGGCGGACCGACGCCAGCAGAGTCCGAGCCCCAAGAGCCCAGCAAACTTCCGAGCCGCACCTCGACAAGGCGACGAGAGGGGCACAGGGGAAACCCGCGCCCGACAAGATCCAGCACGGCCGGCAGGCCCGAGGCGAACCCAGCCGCGGCGACGAGACGCAACGCCGGGGAACCGAGGCGGACCTGACGAGGCGACGAGGAAGCGCCCAAAGCCCAGGCGGGCGACCCATGGCCGCACCCGAGCCGACCGCTCGCTCAGGCCTCCATCGCCTCCAAGAGAGAGAACGTGCTCCTCGAACAGATGTCTCCTCTCCTCCTCCCCCTTCGAAGGGGGGTGAGGGGTCCTCCGCTCGCCCAATCACCTTTGTCCGAGGAGGCACGAGCCAAGTTTTGGTCCTCTCAGCCGGGCACCCCTCGGGCTGTGCGCCCTAACGAGGAGCCGCCTGGTAGTGGCGGCGCGGGTGGCTCCCGACGGACTGTCCGCACCATCAATGGTGTCACGAGCTGCGCAGCGCGCAGGGCTTAGTCTCCAATCGAGTTCGATGGAATCGGAGCCCCATTGCCTTATTCTATTCTCTATTCTCCAAGAGGCGGCTCTTGTCCTTGGCGACCTGCTAGCCCTCGGGCTCGCCCAGGAGCTCCTTCAAGTTCTGGAGCGCACGGGCCCTGTCGAAGGCCAGCGAGTTGGAGAAGGAGGCGAAGATGGACGCCACCGTCTGCCTGAACTCATCCGTGCAAGTCTTCTCCTCTGTCTTCCCGTTCTCCTTCAGGTCGCTGTGCTCGCCTATCGAGTGCTCGACCTTATCAAGGGCGGGGACGGGCGGCAGCTCTGGTGACGGCATGACTGCCATCATCGAGCCGCCGCAGTGCGTCACAGAGGCTGTGTCCAGGTGCTCGCGGTCCTTCAGCTGCAGCGCGGCCTCCTGCGCGGTCTCGCCGAAGTCATCCTCGAGCTGTTCATAGCGGTTGTGCACCGCCACCCAGTACTCGACCATCTCTTTGGCCGTGGAGCCCTTGGCATGCGCATTGTGGTCGCAGGCATCCCCCTCGATATCGTTGTCGAAGGGGTCGAGCCTGCTCGCGCTGTCGCAGTACTCGAACTTTATCTGCTGATAGGCCAGTGCCTTCCGCCACGCCGCGAACGTGTAGTGCAGGGGGTCCCTGATGTAGTCAGCCACGTCCACATCAGGTAGACCCGCCACGGTATCTTGCCTCTCGAGATCTCCAACCTGCGGCCCCGCGACCAGCTCGTCTGAGTCCAAGGCGAGCTCCTGCACGAGACTGGGGAGGCCCCTCACCTTGTCCAGCGGTTCTTCTTCCTCCACGGCGGCACAGATGACAGTTCCTCCTTCTCCGTTTTTTTGTGTGCTCCAGCTCCTCCAAGGTCTCCTCCTGCAAAGCCTCATTGAGCTGGCCGACGCGTGGCAGCTCTTCCAGCTGTCTCTTCTGCATGATCATCGTCTCCTCCGGCGGCGTAGACTGGCACATCCCGCAGCTCCGCCAGAAGCCGAAGTTGATGTACTGGCACTGCTCGTTGAGGCATTTCCACTCGGCCACCTGAATGAAAACGGCACCCGGAACCAGCAGCTTGAGCAT